GGGGGACTGGGAGGGACTGGGGGGGACTGGGGGGCACTGGGGGCACTGGGCAGGTGCCATTTTTGTGTCCCCGGGGCTCTGTCCTGCGCTGGGCTGTGGCTCCGGGCACTCAGGGACACTGGGGACAGTGGGGCAGTGTGGCTGGGGACACTGTGACGGTGCTGGTGGCACTGGGGGCAGTGCTGGTGGCACTGGGGGCAGTGGGTGGCAGTTTGGTGGCAGTGGGTGGCCCGGTGACACGTTGGGTCCCCAGGGCGGGGTTCTGTCCTACACTGGGCTGTGGCTCTGGGCAGTCAGTGCATCACAGAACTTGGTCCTGGGCACCCCGAGCGGCACCGGCACGGGGACAGGGACAGGGGGACAGGGGGACAGGGCACACGGGGACAGGGACCCCGGCACAGCCTGGCCCGGTGCCCCTGGCGCTGGGGACACGGCTGGCACTGTCCCTGTCCCCGTGGGGGTGGCACTGTCCCTGTCCCTGCCCCAGGAGCCGTCCCTGTACACGGTCAAGGCCATCATCATCCTGGACAACGATGGCGAGCGGCTCTTCGCCAAGGTGGGGACACCGGGGGACACACGGGGACAGGGGGGACACACGGGGACAGGGGGGACACACGGGGACAGGGGGGGCACCGGGGGACACTGGGGACACACAGGGACACACAGGGACAGGGGGGACACCGGGGGACACACGGGGACAGGGGGGGACACGGCCCGGAGGGGGATGTGGCCCTGGGGAGGGGACAGGGCGGGTGGCCCGGGCGTCAGGGGGTGGCCGATGTCCCTGTCCCGTTCTGCATGTCCCCATGTCCCCAATGTCCCCGTGTCCCCCACACTGTCCCCATGTCCCCAATGTCCCCAGTACTACGATGACACGTACCCCAGCGTGAAGGAGCAGCGCGCCTTCGAGAAGAACATCTTCAGCAAGACTCACCGCAGTGACAGTGAGTGACACTGAGGGGACAATGAGTGACACTGGGGACACGGGGGTGTGACAGGGACACAGGGACACACAGAGACACACCGCAGTGACAGTGAGTGACACTGGGGACACTGAGTGACACAGGGACACAGGGACACAGAGACACACAGAGACACACCGCAGTGACACTGAGTGACACTGAGTGACACTGGGGACACTGGGGTGTGACAGGGACACAGACACACAGAACATCTTCAGCAAGACTCACCGCAGTGACAGTGAGTGACACTGGGGGACACTGAGTGACACAGGGACACAGGGGTGTGACAGGGACACAGGGACACAGGGACACAGGGACACAGGGACACAGGGACACAGGGACACAGAACATCTTCAGCAAGACTCACCGCAGTGACAGTGAGTGACACTGAGGGGACAATGAGTGACACTGGGGACACGGGGGTGTGACAGGGACACAGACACACAGAGACACACTGCAGTGACAGTGAGTGACACTGGGGACAATGGGGACACTGAGGGGACACAGTGACAGTGTCACACAGTGACACAGCGGTGGCACAGGGGTGGCACAGGTGGCAGTGGCAGTGTCACACAGGTGACACAGGTGTCCCTGTCCCCAGGTGAGATCGCGCTGCTGGACGGGCTGACCGTGGTGTACAGTGACACAGTGACAGTGACACAGTGACAGTGACACAGTGACAGTGACACACAGTGACACAGTGACAGTGACACACAGTGACACAGTGACACAGTGACACAGTGACACACAGTGACACAGACACAGTGACACAGTGACACAGTGACACACAGTGACACACAGTGACACAGGGGTGGCACAGGGGTGGCACAGGTGACAGTGGCAGTGTCACACAGGCGAGATCGCGCTGCTGGACGGGCTGACCGTGGTGTACAAGAGCAGCATCGACCTGTACTGCTGTGTGATCGGGAGCGCCAGCCAGAACGAGGTGGGGCAGGACGGGGACAGGGGGGGACAGGGGACAGGGACAGGGACAGGGACAGGGACTGGGGGGGACAGGGACAGGGGGACACGGGGACATTGCAGGGGCACCGGGACACCCGGGGCCGCTGGAGGACCCTGGGGTGGCAGAGGGGACACTGCTGTGACCCCGTGTGACCCCGCTGGCCTTCTGTCCCTCTGTCTGTCCCTGTGTCTGTCCCTGTGTCACTCTGTCTGTCCCTGTCCCCCTGTCTGTCCCCAGCTGATGCTCACGGCCGTGCTCAACTGCCTGTTCGACTCGCTGAGCCAAATGCTGAGGTACGGGGACATGGGGACACACCAGGGGACATTGGGGACACTGGGGGGACATTGGGGACATGGGGACACTGGGGACACCAGGGGGTCACAGGGGGTTGTGGTGTCCCCAAGGGGCTCTTGGGGGGACAATGACGGGGAGCCGGGAGTGGGGGGGGTCCCTTGTTTGGGGTGTCCCCGTGTCCTGGGGTGTCCCCTGGGTGTCCCCTGGGTGTCCCCTGGGTGTCCCCTGTGTCCCCTGGGTGTCCCACCCTGTCCCCCGGGTGTCCCACCCTGTCCCTGTGTCACTTTGGGGGTGTCCCCGTGCCCTGTGGGGTGTCCCCTCAGTGTCCCCTGTGTCCCCTGGGTGTCCCCAGGAAGAACGTGGAGCGCCGGGCGCTGCTGGACAACATGGAGGGGCTGTTCCTGGCCGTGGACGAGATCGTGGACGGAGGGTGGGGCTGTCCCTGTCACCCTGTCCCTGTCACCTTGTCCCTGTCCCTGTCACCCTGTCATTGTCACCCTGTCCCTGTCACCCTGTCACCCCCCTGGGGCTGTCCCTGCCCCTGTCACCTCTCCTTGGGGTCTGTCACCCCTGGTGCTGAGGTGTCCCTGTGTCCCCATGTCCCTCTGGGCTGTCCCTGTCACCCTGTCATTGTCACCTTGTCACCCTGTCCCTGCCCCTGTCACCTCTCCTTGGGGTCTGTCACCCCTGGTGCTGAGGTGTCCCTGTGTCCCCATGTCCCTCTGTCCCGTGTCCACCTGTCCCATGTCCCTGTGTCCCTCTGTCCCATGTCCCTCTGTCCCATATCCCTGTGTCCCTCTGTCCCTGTGTCCATCTGTCCATCTGTCCCTCTGTCCCATGTCCCTGTGTCCCTCTGTCCCATGTCCCTCTGTCCCGTGTCCATCTGTCCATCTGTCCCGTGTCCCCTCAGGGTCATCCTGGAGAGCGACCCCCAGCAAGTCGTGCACCGCGTGGCCGTGCGGGTAGGGGGCACCGGGGGGGTTTGGGGGGCACCGGG